TAGGAATTGTGGGTTAGATGAATGGACAATAGGGTGGATCAAAAACGGGCTGAATGGCAGAGTTCAGAGGGTTGTGATCAGCAGAGTAGAATTCAGTTGGAGGCCTGTAGTCAGTGGTGTTCCCCAGGGGTCAGTACTAGGTCCAGTCTTACTCAGCTTGTCAGTGACCTGGGCAAAGGGCTGAAGTGTCCCCTCAGCAAGTTTGCTGATGATACAGAGCTGCGGGGAGTGGCTGATACACCTGAAGGCTGTCCTGCCTTTCATTGGGAGCTTGATAGGCTGGAGAGAAGCCTAATGAGGTTCAGCAAGGGCAAGTGTAGGGTACTGCACCTGGGGAGGAAGAACCCCAAATACCAGTACATATTGGGGACTGATGTACAAGAGAGCAGTTGAGCTGAGAAGGACCTGGGAGTATCAGTGGATGACAAGTTGACTATGAGCTGGCAGTGTGCTCTTAAAGCCAAGAGGGACAATAGTATCCTGGGTTGCATCGGGAAAAGCAAGACCAGCAGGTTGAAGGATGTGATCCTCCTCCTCTATTCAACCCTCGTAAGGCCACATCTGGATTATTGTGTCCGGTTCTGGGCTCCTCAGTACAAGACAAACAAGGAGCTACTGGAGAGGGTCCAGCAGGGGGCCATAAGGATGATCAGGGGTTTGGAATGTCTTTCTTAGAAGGAGAGGTTGCAGGAGCTGAGCATGTTTAGTCTAGAGAAGACTGAGAGGGGATCTCATTGATGCATATAAATACCTCAGAGGCAGGTGCCAGGAGAATGGTGCCAGACCCTTTTCAGTGGTGCCCAGTGACAGGACGAGGAGCAGTAGCCATAAACTAGAAGTTTCGCCTCAACATGAGGAAGAGCTTCTTTAGGTTGAGGGTGGCAGAGCACTGGAACAGGCTGCCCAGGGTGAGTGGTGGAGTCTCCCTCTCTGGGGACATTCAAAACCCGCCTGGACACACGTTCTTGTGTAACTTGATCTAGGTGGCCCTGCCTTGGCAGGGGGTTGAGCTAAATGATCTCCAGAGGTTCCTTCCAACCCTAATGATTCTGTGATCTTTCATACTTTTATTTTGTCATGGTTTGTATTCCTCAGTTTATATTTCCTGAAAAACCCTAAGAAGCTTTTACAATTTATGTCATATGAATTTAACAGCATCTTATTTGTAGTCACTCTATGCCTAGATTTGTTTTTATTTACTCTGTATGATGAAGCCTTAAGTGGGGAGAAGTTGTTTTGACTGAACTTAGTATTTTAGCTCAATTACATTTCTTGTGTATTTATTTGTAGGCCTGGAGAAAATTGAACAGCTACAAAATCATGAAAATGAAGACATCTACAAACTGGCTTATGAGATCATTGATCAGTTCTTCTCTTCAGATGATGTAAGTGTCTAATAGCTCTGCAGTCCATTTTTGTAATTGCTTGTGTTTATAAATATGGTTTGTATATAAGGCAGCACCTCTGAAGCCTGCTTTGGGACATTTGTTTGGTTTTTCAGTGAAAAATGAGCGCTTATTTGAACTTACTGCATATCTTGCTGTTCTTCACGATGAAGTGTCTGAAGATCTGCCTAATTTAAACCCCATCTCTAGGGATTACAGTAGTAGGCTTTGAATAATTCTCTTGACTGTTAGCTTCTAAGCTTGATACTTCACATCTGATAAGCTCCCTGCTGACCAGCGTACTGAATCTGAGATTCTGCTTCTTGAGAAACAGACTATTTTAAATATTTCAGGAATTTCAGAGGCAGGATGTGCTGATCAACAATGTTTTCATTTTGAACATGTAACATAAAAGAAGGTTTTATGCACTTTTAAATCAAAAAGGTTAATTGCATATGGAGGAAGTGCAGTCGTGTCTGTGTCATGAAGTGAGGGTTTTCCACTTGAAGAACTTTGGGGAGCGAAAATTACTGCAAAACCAGTAGAGCTCAGTTGTATTCATGTCCTGCCCTCCACACTGAAGTTTATTTTGTGCCTTTTTTTTTTTTTTTTTTTTTTTACTTTCATATGAACAATAGTATGCAAATCTTGTTTAGCAACTCACACTTCACATTTACAGTAAGACTTGGAGTTTAATCTAGAGTCAGTTTGGTAACCTGTATACTGCTTATTTAACTGAAAATGGGTTTCATCTTAATCCTTGCCTGATTTAATGGTATTCTCTTAAGAACCGTGATGGTTTGTAAGCTGGCAATAAGGACAATGCATGATTGACAATGCTTTCCAGGAGTGAAAACTACGTAACAAGATAAACTGTTGGGTACCATGTCGCCTACCTACTGAATGAGAGCTAAAGCATTTCAGCCTAAAGCGCTTTGTCATTATAGTGCAGTTACTAAACCGGGGAAGAAGAATGGCAAGACTTGATGTTAGGAATTATATTAGGAGAAGAGAGAGATGCTTTTTAGGATTGTCCAGCTCCTTTTTGATGAGGCTTTTGTTTTTTCCTACTCACGATATTCTCGTTCTGTTACAGATTGATGAAGATCCTAGCCTTGTTCCTGAAGCAATACAAGGCGGAACATTTGGTTTCAATTCATCTGCCAATGTACCAGCAGAAGGGTTCCAGTTTTAGAGTGGTATTTCGGAAGTTAGGTACAATGCAGCACTGAATAAAAAAAGGTTTGATCCATCAATCTTGGCTCATGGGATCCGCTGCTGCATTAAATCGGGAAAGAAAATGTGAAGATTTCATTTGGAATCACAGAAAAGCCCAAATGAAGTCAAGATGGCGAGTGGGTGCGAGTGAGAATGAGTGGCAAAATGTAATGAAAAACTTCACACTGAATGCTTATTTAGATTGTTCAAAGAAAAAGGGCTACAGGTCAAAGATCTTCAGTGCCTGAGAAGGAACAATGACTTACTAGAGCAATTGGGGGGAAATGCAGTACTATCATCATCAAGCCTTGTAAAGCATAAGGGAATAGGATGCCCACATAAGTCCAAGGAGAATGAGCCCAGGCCTTGCTTGAAGCACCGTGTGAATGGACAACGTTGAATGAATGTCTGGACTCAATGCTGTGGAGCCAGGCTCACGTTTCAAACACGGGGCTCTTCGGTCCTGAAGCAGGCTCCTAGTCCGGAGTGGCGTATGTACGAGAGTATGGTTGTGATGCTGTATGTGAACGCATGCAAGCTTGATTCACCTTCAGGGGGCTGATAATAAACCTAGTAAATCATCAAAATGAGTTCATAAGTGTTAACGTACACTGGACACACAAAGACCGGTTTAGCAGCAGACTCTGGTTTACTCTTGCAGCCTATGTTTCTTTTTTGTTTTGGTTTGGTTTTTTTTTTCCCCTCTTATTTTCCTTTTAGTTACTTTTCTTTCCTGTATGGCTTATTAGTTGTTTGTAAAGTCAGAATTTCAGGAAGGCTTCCCTGTGCATTTGCACCAGATGAATGTTTGATGTTATGAAAAGCTTTCCATATCATCAAAACTAATTTGTAGATTTTTGCATGAAAAAATCATACATTTCCCTTCAAATAGACTGTGTTGCAGTACACAAGTTGCCATAATAATAGGAAGCAGTAAAATGTGGTAATAAAATCTCATCCTTTTCATTTTCAAAGATAACATGAAGACCTTTGCATGTGGTAATCTACAGCATAGTTCATTTTTAGATTTTGTTGAGTCCTGTAACCAAATGTTTCTGTTGTGGTAGAATAATACTGTGCTGTGTTTCAATGTTACTTGTTTTCAAACTTTGTTTTCTATGAAAATGATATGGAAACTTCTAAAAATGAAATTTGGTGCATATGTACTGCCGAATAAAGACCGAAAAAGAGGTGTGAATAGATGTACAAATCAAGTCATGGTTTGAACACCTTTACTATGCCTAATCCAATTGTTTTAGACTCTTTTTATCTTAGATGTAGGCAGCCGTGAACAATCTATTTTGAGCCACTTTAGAGAGAAAACTTTGTATTTTTAAAACTTGCACAAAAAGGATGCAAGTGTTTTTATAATTGGAATACTGCCTCAGTTTTGAGGTTCTGCACACTAAATTAAAGGTGATGTTACAAATTTGTACAAAATGAACTCTTTATAAGGTGGCTCATTGTAGGAAATGCTGTGCCTTCCCCTTTGAGCACAAGTGTTGCATGAACAACAGTTTGCTATAATAAAATGTACCAGATTAGCCACCATTAGCATCTATATCTACCTTGTGTTTTAAAATCAACTGGTAATTCTGAAACACTGTAGAATGGATAAAGATTATTTTGTGATCATAACTCTTTGTTGGACTAGAGTATTTTTGCAGCATTCCTTGTCATCAGAAACATGGTTAAAGTTTAAAACTAGAAGCAGCGGAAACTAGCTTGTGAAATTTATCTGAGTAGAGTGCAGGCTAGGCTGTCTTGGGGAAATAAACGTTAAAACTTGCAACCCAGTTGTATTTGGTGTGTCTTTGTGTATACACTCCAGTTCTCATCAAAAGGTGTGAAAGATCATTTGAAGACAGACACTCTTCTGAATCTTGTCTTGAGTTTTTGTGGGGTTTTTTTACCTACTAAGTATCAATGTGTGTTGCAGTATGTTATGTAGGCTTGAGGTAAATAACTGGCTTGGTGTAAATATTAAGAAATAACTAATTCACCTAATTATATAGTATGTGTTCAGTACATTAGGGCTCCTTTCATGTAGAATGTAGGGAACCCTTAAAGGATGTAAAAATGGTAGTTTTAAGGGAGTTGCAATTACTGTCATAACACTAAAGTATCTTTGTGAAAGATGTACTGTAGAAAACAGCTTCACTGTTAGAATCCTTTCTTGTTAGGGGTAAGAGGAAAGCAGATGTTCGTTGCAACTTCCGTATTTCAAAAACAAACCCAAAACACTATGGCAAGGTGTTTTGGCACTTCCCTTGATATAATTAGAATCATATAATAGTTAGGATTGGAAATGACCTTAAGATCATTTAGTTCTCAACCCCCCTGCCATGGGCAGGGACACCTCACACTTAAACTGTGTCACCCAAGGCTCTGTCCAACCTGGCCTTGAACACCGCCAGGGATGGAGCATTCACAACCTCCCTGGGCAACCCATTCCAGTGCCTCACCACCCTACCAGTAAAAAACTTCCTCATTATATCCAATCTAGACTTCCCCTGTTTAAGTTTTAACCCATTACCCCTTGTCCTATCACTACAGTGCTTAATGAAGAGTCCCTCCCCAGCATCTGTATAAGGCCCCCTTCAGATACTGGAAGGCTGCTATGAGGTCTCCACGCAGCCTTCTCTTCTCCAGGCTGAACAGCCCCAACTTTCTCAGCCTGTCTTCATATGGGAGGTGCTCCACTCCCCTGATCAATCTCGTGCCCCTCCTCTGGACTTGTTCCAACAGTTCCATGTCCTTTTTATGTTGAGGTCACCAGAACTGCACACAATACTCCAGGTGAGGTCTCACAGGAGCAGAGTAGAGGGGCAGGATCACCTCCTTCGACCTGCTGGTCACGCTCCTCTTGATGCAGCCCAGGATACAGTTGGCTTTCTGGGCTGCGAGCACACACTGAAGCCGGCTCATGTTAAGTTTCTCATTGACCAAATTACCTTAAGCTAATGCTGTTCTAGCTGCAGCCTGTACTTTCTTACATGGTTGGTGGTGGTTTTGTTGGCCTGGGGTTTTTTGGTGTGGAAAATTCTCATCACCTGCTTCACAGCAGATCCAATTGTTAGTTTGGAAAGCTTAAACATTTTGGTGTACACAGGGTGGCAGTATTCTGAGTTCTTCAGGAGCAAAACTGAAGCTAGTTTGTCCAGTGGCTTTTTCCCCAAAGTTGCATTTTGGGGTAATGTAGTTACAGTGTTGGGGAAAGGGGGCTTGCTTGGGATGCCAACAAATAACTTAAAAGACTTCAGAAATACTGATCAGATTAACTTCAAGAAAGCAGAGTTACTTAGGAGTACAATGCTGCTGCAGCGGAAGTCACCAAGTTTTCTGCCTACATATGAAGATGAGTAAATTTTAGCCTCTCACTTTACTAAGCAGTGGAATTAGGTCTTCATTGGAAGCAACTCAGATGTTTCCCTTTTAAAATGACAGCTGTGACATCGAGTGTACTCGGGCAGTTTGGTAGCAGAACACTGCTCTTTGATAGATTGTCAAACCTACTCTTTCAGTATGCTGAAGTAGAAAATAAGCTTTTCAGTTGAACTTAGGATAGCGGATACCTAGAAAAGTATCTTTAAAACATTCTGGGACAAAAATTAATCCATAATACAAGGTATTCCAGGTGGATTTTTATTCCAAAAAGCAGCATTGTTGGACCAAGTAGCTGCCCTGGAACTTACCCAGACCTGAATATGAGAAACTGATGACTTCTGTGTAACCAGGGCTCTTCTCTTACATAAATTCAAAAGCCGAAGGAAAACAGTGGGTGTGCAGGTAAGGAAGGGGAGTGTGACTGACTTTCTGCTTGAAAGTGAAGAAATACATGTATTTCTTAAAACTAACACACATTGTTGCATAAATTACTAAATTGCTGCTTTCTAAGAATGTCTTTGTATTAATACTTGTAGACTCTTTGCCACTTTTAACTGTAAATATTTCCTCAACTCTGCGTGTCACCAAATTACTGGCAGAAATGCTGGTCACAAGGCTGGAAACAATTACAGAAGTCCTGCATCTGGATCAAATAGACTTTATGAAAGGAAACTTAGTAGCAGAAAATGTGTAAAGTTTACAAACTCTTCCTAATAGTAACTTTTAGCTACTGCCAGAGTAAAACTCAGAAGACACACTAAATAGATTGAAAAAGTAACTACTACCTCAATACCTACATAAGAATGTCTGGAAACCTAATTTCTATAAAGGAATCCTTATTCTTGCTTGGAAATACCTTGAAATGGGGATCCTGTGTTTACTCTGCTGCTTTGGTGTGCTCCAGGGCTGAGGAAAAGTTTTCTGCAAGCTGTCATTAAAGCTGTCATCTGTAAATACTTTTAGTATACTTTTAAATCTCTATAAAACAACACTGAAAGCTACTTTTACTATAAAACAAGTAATGTGGGAAACTTTATGCCAGCTATTGGTAAAAGCATTACAAAAGTTTTGTAATTTATGGAAAGGTAGATGGGCGGTGGTCAGACTTCATATCTGCAACACCAGGTTACAATGTGAAGCAAGTATGTCCTTCCTAAAATGGCAGTTTTTCAGATTAAATGTTGCTGCTTAATTCTTTTAAATACATAAAAATAAATGGTATAAACCAACATAGGTTCTTACTCTGGACATCAGTTATCTATTTGTCAAAAGCTTCCTTGTCTCTGTTTCTGTAGCTTTTTCCTTATCACTTTTACTGTGTGTTAAGGGTTAGTAGGAGGGAAAGGATTAAAACTCGTTTTTCATTCTGTCATATGTAGTGCATGTAGCCCAGAAACAAAAGTATCCCAGGTTGAGTGCCTGTGGCATTTGGGCCCTTTCAGGCACTGTGGTTTACTAGGTGGTCTTCTCTGTTGCTGCAGTGTCTTTAGTGTATTTCCTGGAGTAAAATTATCAATACATTCCCATCCACCGCCACAAAAATTAAAGTGCTAGTGAGCCAGAGAAGCATCTTTCAAGAAACAGGAAACAGATTTAGACCTTTGTGAGTTTAGGGTGGGGAGGTAAGGGAGTAGCCCAATACTAGACAGCTACAAACTGGTAGTCTGAAAAATATGGTTATCTCAAATACATGAAAATGATGAGAGGAACCAATAACCACAGTAATTCCTTCAGGATTAAAATTAAGGCAAAAAAATCCGAGTGCTTTGTCAGCTTCAGAGTTTTTTGTTAGGTTGCTATCCATGCAACCAGTGATGTTCTGTACATAGGTACTATGGGTTAAATCTCTTGCTTGAGTAATACTGCAATACAGTAAAATCTTGTTCTATCCTACTGTTACTTCCCTTTTTACAACCTTTAAATGTTTGGTTGCGTTTTGGGTATTTTACCCTTAACTCTATGCCAAATTTACCTCTTTCTCATTTAAGCTGTTTGGAATCTGTCACGGGTTTGGACTCCTTCGCTTACTCCACACAGTTCATACTCCTTTTTCTACTACCTATGACGAAGTATTTCTAATGAACCACAAGTGTGCAACCAGCCAGCAATTAGACTTTGGTGGTGGAACTGAAGCTTTAGTTTTCAGATTATTGTAATGTGGACCTGAAGATGCCTTTCCTCACCTAAAACACTTTTTACTAACTTGTTCTAATAATATGTTCAGTTACAAAACTTGAGCTGTTTATGCATTTATCTTGGCTCTATGGCATTTTCATTTTTTAGGTGCTGCTTCTCTGTGTGTTTTCCCACATGATGGCTTTCTAGAATTGTATGAATATAGACATGCAAATTGTCTTAATAGGGTGAACCTCTGAAGTGTGTTGCAGGTTACCTGATTTGTAGTGAGACACCAATAATAGCTATGTTGCAATATCTTTTATGTTAGTAGACTTGTGGGATACCTGTTTTGCACAAGCTACACATCTTCAACACATATTGCTTGTTAGGATTTTTATATTTTGCTTAAATTGCAGAAACATTTTTTATCAGGTTATTCCTGCACAGACCCTACAAATGCAGTTAGAAGGGGGCTCTCTATTAAGCTGATGTTTTAAGGCTCACTCTGGCATGAGGACATTGTAATCTTTCAGCTCTGCAGATTGAATGCTGGCTCATTTCTTGTCGTTGCAATTTCTGCCAGATACAGGATTATATTAGAAGGTACTTATTCCCAAAATTTTGTTTGCAAAGATTTGCTACCGTGACGCAGTTAACATAATGCTACAATGGAACATCCACGTGGTTGCAGCCTCTTCTACAAATTGGGCAGACCAAACTTCTGGATGTGAAGATCTGTGTATCTGGCTTAGTGTATTACCTTGTTCAAATAGAAATGTCATCTCAAACATTTTATTTACTGTACTAGAAAGTGGGTTACTGATCTGTCAGTGCATGCACGCATTCTGTCCATTTCTGACATTTTATAAAATGTGCTCTCATCATCTTGACATACCCACAGCAGGTGGTTCAGTAATGACCCATCTGGTATAATGATCCAGTATGTAGCATGATCCTTCAGCCAATTGATCCAGTCTCTGAAACAGAGGTTATTTTCTGGGTTAGTTTTTAATGAGTCCCTGTGGCTGCTTGAGCACAAGTGAGATGGATGAGGCCATCTGACAGGTGCAGATTGGCTCAAGTTGTGAACCTGCTGGCTGAGTTAGAAGTAGAAGCAGGGGGGAAAGTAAGCAATTCACAGATCAACCAACCTGCAGAAACAAGGGTCTGTTGGATTCTGGTCTTGCCATCAGCAGGCAGGATGAGCAGGACAGGCAGAGATCTGTCCACCTGTAATTAATAGTAACATCATGATTTAAAGAATGATTTTCACAGAGCAAGCAACTTTTAAAACCTAAGTTTTAAAGGCTAAGTTCTAAAGTAAGGCAGCCTTCTGGCTTGAAAGGATGAAGCTGTAAGGTGGTTGTGAAAAGTAAAGGAGGAATTTCTCTACCCCAAACTGTAAAATTAACAATGTAAGATGTAGTCATTATTTACACAGCAAAATAGGAAAATAATAACTAGTGTATGAATAAAGCAAATGAATGCTGTTAGCGAAACTTCTACTGTGGGGCATACGGAATAGTCAAATGGAATATTTAATGAAGCAGCACAGCTGGAGAAAGAAATACGCTATGTTTGGAGTATGCATTTGCAAAACAAGTATGTAAAACACTCTCTCAATCCTACTGTAATGTTACCAACATGCAGAATTGCCTCAGCATGGAAATAAAGTCAGAGGAATAAGTCCTTGCTGTTTCAATCTCTATTAATTATTTTAGATTTCAAAAATCTAAGACAAAGCTCAACTGAAACTATTTAATAAACCATATCTATTACTTTGGAATTAATTTTAGAATTAAATTATCTCTAATTCTAGAGCTAAGATTTAGAATTCCCCCCCTCCCCCCCCCCTTTGCTACTGCCTCTCTTTTGGGAAGGACATTACCTTCTTCTGAAGAACACCTTTAGGACATCCAAGTCCTGTTCTCAAGTCAGGAAGAACCTAATATTTCTCCAAACCATGGGTTTTGATTTAAGTAAAGAATTGATTTTCAACATCTTGAAACACTTTTATGGCAAAATAAGAATTTTACTGACACTTTCTAATCTACGTATTTTTTACTGGATAAATCCCTTGCTGTGTGATGTCTGGCTAGTTGTACTGTTTCAAAACACATTTTGAGTAAGCTGGACCTAAATGGCAGCATCTTTACTGCCACAAGTGGAAATGCAGTAATAAAAAGCACTATTTCAACTTGTTAAATTGAAAAACTTCAACTAGCATAAAAAAGTTTCAGTTAAGGTTGTTAGACATGCAGAGCCAAAGTGGTGTAACTGACATCTGTATATATGAAGGTAAGACTACTATTATAATGGCTTCGCACAGGAAAGACCAGTTACAGCTGAATACGGTATTGAGAACTTTGTGCCTATCAGCTGAACTGTGATGGTTAGCAGTAGAGCATTTTTTTATTATCTGGAACATAATTCCAAATGTTCCCCAGATAACTCTGTAACGTCCTCTAAATACCAGTTTCAGGACAGATGTTTAGGTAACTTCTAAATGATGATATATTATGATACACATCACAACATTCACTTCTCTTTTAAAGTAACTGTGTAACATCTGGTAATAACTTTATAATTTACTTGGTGAATTGTAAATAAATATGGAATAATCTGGAATAGAAGGAAAGTCCACCACACTGGGAACTTTACCTTATAAAATCCTGAAATTTACCAGTGTCACAGTGATCACGGTGCTCACCCACTTCTTCCTACTGCAGTGTTGGTTGTAGTTTTGTTATCAACATTGTAGCCAATTTTGGTTTAAAGTATAAATTTTATTAAACTGAGTAAGCTATAGCAGATAAACCAGCAACGGCTGCGCCGAGGAATCCTCCGCTCCGCCCAAGACGCGCAGACGCGGTCCCTGGGAGGCGGTCCTTTATCTTTTTCGGTTCAAGGTCCCAGCCAATCCTGTCGCCTCTCCTCACTCGGATGTTGACATGGCTCTTCCCCATTGGTTCCCTTTGTTGCAGGGATCTCATTACCAGGAAGTTTCGGGAAGTTTCGAGAAGCTCCCAGAGGCTTCGAGCAGCGTCCACTGCCAGCCTCCTCACCGTCGAAGCCCCCTCCCCTCAAGCGTTGCAACAAGACACCACTTCGAGCCACCCAGCCCCCTTTTCTCTCTCACAATCCTGTGCAACAATACAACTGACCTCCCCCCCATTACTTACAGAGTACAACAGTTACAGAGTCAAAAAGGAGTATTGTTTCACATAATGTCAGCCACAGAGAGCCTCCCTCTCCCCAAACTTCTTGATGAACAAACCCCACACATTACAGTTTCATGTAAAATACCTTGTTTTCAACAGATGAAGTAGGTGAATATGCTTAAATTGAAACCGAACATTACCACTTACATACATTAACTTATTTAGTAGTTGGCAGAAAGCCTGTTCCTGCTCCCCCTGAAGCAGCCGTCAGGGTTTTTTGTCTCTTGTTTTCTAGCTTCAGGGTGAAGTTCCCTTCACATTGTGCAGAAGAATAAGTCTGGTAAGATATTCATTGCACTAATGGCACAGAAGAGCAGAGCACACAGCTGTAGGCCAACGTTTTTCCACTTTAATGCCTCGCCTTTTGCTACTGAGGATGATGGCGGCACCAAGTGTGTAATTCCTGAGTAGCAGTGTACCTCTTTCCTGCTGGGTCTGCCTTTCTCTCTGCTTGAGCGTTCAGCCGAATCTGGGATACACAAAGCGCCATTTCCTTCAGCTACAGCTGGAAAACAGCGCCTGAGGGGCTCTGCTCGACTCTCCTGTTTCACAGCCGCCTCGGGCCCGCCTGCCGCGGGAAAGTGCCTGCAGGGCGGCCGTTAACGGTCCCCTGCCCCTTTTGAACGCGGCTCCCCGCCCCGCTGCCGTTTACTTTCGAACAGCGCGGGCGTCGGCTGCTCCCGCGCATGCGCCTCTCGGCGGGGCTGTGGAGAGCAGCCGGGCGCGGGCCCGCTGAGCGAGGCGGCGGTTTGAAGTCGTCGGTGCAGAGCCTGTCGGCTCCCCGTGAGGAGGGCGGAATAGCGGCTCTATGCTGGTGTCCCTGCGCTGGCGTGCGGAGCGGGGCTTAGCCGAGGAGGCGGCGGACGGAGCGGCCAGGTAGGCTGCAGGGTGGGAGTAGGGCAGCTGGGGCTCCGGTTGTACACCCCGGCAGGAGGTGTTTCGTGAAGCGTTTCCGCTCGCGCGGCCTCCTGAGGTGAAAACGCTCTGCGAGCAGTGGTGTCCCGAACGACCGCTTCCAGCCAGCCTTCTCTAGCCTGCTCGGCTGGGCAGTGCTGAGGGGCTCGCCCCGCGGGCGTGGGGACCCTCTGCCACCCCCTGGCGTGCCTCATCCCTGGCAGTGTTCAAGGCCAGGTTGGATGGGGCTTGGAGCAACCTGGTCTAGTGGAAGGTGCCCTTGCCTGTGGCGGAGGGATTGGAACTGGATGAGCTTTAATGTCCCATCCAACTCAAACCATTTTATGAACGGTACTACCTTCCTTCTTTCTTCACTGCCTAATGCGAAGAGGCATATGACAGATCAGTGCTTAAGACCAGAAGCTTTGACAGAGTTCAAGTGATAAGGGATGGAGAGCAAATCTTGACAATAGAATACAGATATGGAAAGGATAGAGTACTATATTTGGGTTTTTTTTTTGAATGTGGTAACTTGTGTAAGCTTATTATAGTGGCAGCCAAGGAGCCAGTAGAGGGATATATGGAAAGGACCTGTCAAGTCAGCTTGCTGGGGAAGCTAGACATGCTGCTCATCATGTGGGCTATTTGTGGCGTGAAGTAAAGCAGTGCAGCTGAAACAATCTGGAATAGAAAAGTGTGAGGTCTAGCTGTTGTTTCTGATTTCTGGTGCCTGGCTTGTTACAACCCACAAACCTGCTGGCTGTGTGACAGGGTCTGTTCCTTTTGGTGCACTGACAAATACTGGAGCTGCACCTCGGCTTTCTGTTTTTTTAAAAAATGTTTGTCACCCCTTACCATGAAGGTGACTTATAAATGGAAAACACTGTTCACAATGTCATTTAATCTCTTATTTTTGCACAGTATTAACTTGAGCTCCTATGGCAGTGCTACGGGAGGGCTTTGTGGACCTTAGTGGGTTGGAGAGACAGCATTTCTGACATGGATTTAGTTTAAGTACAGTATTGAAAGGTCAAATCTTACAATGTCCTTCAGGAAAGAGCAGATGTTTTCTTTCCCAACAGTGGCATGAAGGAGGAGTGAGGAGCCTGGCAGTCCCTTCTAACTCCTGGTATAGGCTGTCACAACTGTTACCACGTGTCAAATTCACCTTTTAAAATCCTCCAGGCTTTTGCCATAAAGCAGGTAGTTATTTACCGAAACACTGACATATGCTGTATCATACTTAGAATTGTTTTCAAACACCATCTTGCATAGCTAGCTGGAGGAGCAGCATCCTGATGGCTAGGTGAGGAATGCAGCATTGTTAAGGAATATTCTGTGTTACTTTTGTCTGTTTAACTGAAAGCTTTAGCAGGTAAGCTGTAACACAGGTATACTCTGTTAGATGTTTCTACCTTGTCTACAGTATTCCTAATTAGAGGAGGATAAAATGACAGCCACTTTATCGGCCTTCTGTTGCTGGAAGTCTTCTGAATCTCACCGTGATACTGACACAATTATGCTTTTGAATTTTTAAGATACCTTCTAGTTTGTAATCTGTTTATGCAGAGTGACTCTCATTAGAAATGTGCATACACACATGGACGCACATATTTGCTACCACAGCTGTCTGGAACATTTAAGGACAAGTAGCTGCTCTGTGCAGGAAAGCATTAGGAAAGCATTTACCAGCTTCCTGTTCTCTTTTTTTTTTCTTTTTTCTTTTTTTTCTTGGAAAACTTCTTTCTCTTTGCTTAACTCTGTGATGTTGTGTCTGTTCTTTTTTGTTGCTGTTCCAGTCTCTCTCTGTTAGATGCCTACTGATACATTCCCACTGTTGTTTACATGCTGACCATTTCCTGCATGCTGCTACCACTGTGGGATGAAACTGAATTTTGTGATTTCTACCTTTTGCTTCCCTGGTGCACATCTGGAGCAGTTTTCTAGAACTTAAACCTGACAGCTTTGGAGCGGGCAGCATGTCCCTCCTGCAGAGGTCGAGGTGATTCATAGCAGAGCTAAGAAAAAATTTATGAAGTTGCATCTTTGTTTTTTTTGATAGCAAGCAACTCCTTTGCGGTTAAAATAATTTTAATTTTATCTTGCCCTTTACGTAGCTCAAATAAGCTGGATGTGTGTTCTTCAGAAAGAAAATTTCCCTCCTGTAACAGTTTTTTTGAAGAGAACTACAGCTCTAGAATAGGAAAAATGAGTGCTTTTAAACCTAGAGTTTTTTTGTTTGTTTTGTTTTTTTTTTAATCTATATTAATTCTATACATAAAAAAAGAAATAAATTGAGAGCACCTACTGAGCTCCTTTTTTACCATGAACAAAAACTTAACCTTTTTTTTTCATCTTTTTAGTGACATTTCCTAAAATTAATAACTTTATATATGTGTACAAGTACATGTGCATATATATATAAATAAAACCTTTAAATGTATTTGCTCTGAGAATTAATTCTCAAAAAATAATTTATCTTGGATACTGAAGTAGCTTGGTTGTTCAGCTTCTGTTCATTATTGACACATTTCTTCAGTTTCAGTGTCAAGAGTATCACTTAAAAATGTGAAGCTATTAATGTATAGACCTAAAGAACCTAGTGTTGCCACAGTGGCTGAATGGACAGGCTGGAAAGTAAAGGCCTGTGCCCCCAGTAAGAAGAGAAATACCACATGGTCTATAGTAAGAGCAGTGTGGTACAGAGGTAGATGGAGTATCCAAGTGTTGTGATTGTCTTTTGTTAAACATCTGTCATACTTGATATTAATCCTCTTTAACTAGAATACACAAGTTATAAATGTTAAGACACTTGATCATTCCTCTTTTAAAGGGCAGTTCTTGAGAATTATGTGTCTCTCTAGCAGATTTTCTTCCAGCTGTTGTCAAGATCTCTTTAAAAAGTGGAGTTCAAATGAGTGATCCAACATTTAGTTCTGATTAGCTGAAAAAAATGACCTGAAGTGTCATGGATAGATTATTTGTATTTTTAATTTTTTTTAAAGCTGAATTAATCAAAATGCGTTTTCGATATGAAGTTGACGAAACAAAATACAGATACCTCCTGTGATTGAACTGGATGTTTTGGGTGATGATGGCCATTAGATGATGATGTTATTGTTGTTCAGTCTGGTTTTACAAGGCAAAACAGCCTGATCAGACTTGCAGAGTTGAACACTTTCACTTTTGGGTGTACCAGCCTATCTAAGTGAGATAAACCATGCTTACTTCAGTACAAGCACAGTAGGTTTCTCTGTTCAGAGCTGATTTAACTCTCCAGAAACCAGGGTCTGACTATTTGGCTTCCAACTTCCAGCAGGTTAGCTCTGTACCTTTGGTAAGCACAATGCTGCTTAATTGTTTTACTGAAAATTGTTTATTAGTTAGTGGCAAATTTAATCCTTATTAGTTTTCATAATTCTAAATGCAGTTTAAGCTTTTA